CTTGGCCAAGGGCATGGATGCTGAGAGCTTCAGTCTGCACACGTTCGAGGCGCTCATCTCGCAGAGCATGGAGAACTTGGGTACGGTGGAATTCATCACCAGATGTCACTCCATTCGCGTTGTATATACAAATTTTTGCTTCAGTTCGTGCTGTCGATTCATTTTTCTGGGAATTGACAGGAATTAGCACGATTTTTTGCGTGAATTAAGATGAGTTTGTTGAATGAAACAAGAAGATTTGTAAAATCAATTAAGATTATTTTTATAGAAATAAAACTGACTTTTTACATGAATTTAAACGATTTTGACCATGAACTAACAGGGTTGGTAAATAATATTTGCTTTTAACATGGAGCTTATTGTTGTCCTGTATAAATAAATATTTTTAATGCTTAGTTTTAATTCCTGCGTAGACAAGGAAGCAACAAGAAACTTTGCATTTTCCATATTATTTTTTGGGTAATGAAAGTTTCTCTAGAATTAAAAAAATCTTACTAACTTTAAATTCCATTCATGTTATTGCGAATGGATCATATCTGGTGAATCAAAAAAAGCTTTTTTCTCAGCTCAAATCCTTGTACAAGTTTATGGAGACTTATTTTTTTTTAGTTTTAAAATTGCAATAATTGATTGATTATACTAGCAGCAGTTAGTGATTTATTCCTTAGCGACAAAGGAAAAAGCGAAGAGTTTGCGCAGCAGATTTTCTTCTTGAATGTCATGAAAGAAATAAATCAATTTTTTTACTGCTTCTTGAGTATTACATTTAACGTTAGGAGTTACAAAAAGAAGCGTTTTCACTCGGTCGCGTTGGCAGCTAAAAAATGATTCGAGGGATTCGCTAAATTTGATTTTTAACGAGTTAAATTCGTTCCCTAAGCTTTAAACTAATAGTACGAAGGATTTCCACCAAGAGTAAGGCTTGAAGGATTATGCCTTCAAGGCTTCCTTTAATACGGTTTTGCGTGAGTCAAGGAATTTTGCAGCATTTTCCAGCATGCTTTACGAATTTTTGTAAACTATTTCTCAAGCTTGAATCAAGCAATTTCTCGGTAAAGAAAAAAAACGTGACGCTGGTATCATTTTTTTTTGCGCATGGAATTTGCAGCTGCAGCTGGGAATCGCGGTCATCATCAAATGCTGCCAGTGCCAAAATCAGGCCCATTTTTCAATGCCAGTTTTGACAACCATCCCATGTCTGCTGGACCAGGTGCTCCTTCTCAACACGGCATGATGATGGGCATTGGCAGGGAAACGGCCCTGGACAGAGGCTATTACACTGACAGGGGTTACTTGAGTGACCATCGGGAATCCCGGTCTTTCAGAGAAAGACGTCCTATTGCTAGGTACGAAAAAAAGTTACTAGTATACATAGAAGCCAGGAAATTATTTTTGAATGCCAAACAACGAAAAAAGAAACTGGGCTTGGAAATGTTTAGCATAATACGCATGACGAGGTCAAACTATGTTGTTGTTCTTGTCATGGGTCAATTGGATCCCAGACAAAGGAATTGAATTGTGCAGCCATCAGAATGCAAGTTTTGAATAAGAACTCAAACTCTTTTCAAAGGAGTTCATTCTTGTTGCCCAGTTCATCAATTGGCTGTTTAATTCAATGTTTTAATGGCAGAGTCAATGCTGGTTAGCTCAGAATATTGAATGAGGTAATTTAATGTTGAAAGGCCCTTCAACCCTTGGATGGCAAAGGGTTCTTTTCCATTGCTGGCCAAAATCAGATTATTTTTGTATGCTAAGGCGTTTTAATTTTTCTGAAGGTCAGAAAAGACCTTCCAGGTGGGCTGAGGCAAAGTCGGGATTAATCCAAGAAAAGCCCATTGCTTAGCATCTCATTTTTTTCATTTTCCCACAAATTTTTTCTGTGCAAAAAGAAAAAAACATTGGATTTTTCCCTGACTTTGTCCTCAAATCCCTGTTTTCCTTTTTTATTTTCTGCCCTGAGATGCAACAAAATTTCGCAAAAATAGTCCGACTTTGCTGCCCAAGGGTTAACACTAGGTTCTGACTTCTTGACTTCTCCTCTCAAAGAGGAATGAGGGTTTTTATACCCAGGTGATTGGACTGAGTCAGGAAGAAATCAGGTGATTTCTTCCTGGCTCAGGATTGGCCAATTTTAGGAAAATCAAAGAAGTGATGACCACTTCTTGTCCTTGAGTGATGCTCAGTCAGTCTCGCAAAAGCAAGATTTTTGCCAGGCTCACTGGCCTCAGAAATACAACAAGTTTTTGGGTCCGGTTTTGGCCGGATGCTGGAGTTGCGTCGCTTCGGGCCGCGACATTTCCATTGTAATGATACTTTTGTGTCCATGCATGGCTAGCATTTTTTGTGCAGAACAGAAAAGAAAAATGCAACAAATTTTTCTTCTCATGAAGAACACGCAGGAAGTATTATAAAAACAAGGTGCTTCGCAGCTGAAGAGCACATCAGTATATATACTCAGCATAACACTGTCCATTACTCGAAATTTATCGTCAGGTTCCCCAGTACTGACACACAGGTTCAGCAGGGGTGATGTACCCAAACGTGTTTCCCCCTGTTTCAGTGTCAATTAAAGAGAAGCCTGCAGACAACATATTTCTAGGTACTCAATCCCAAGACAAATCATCACCAGCACCACCCCCACTTCGCATGAATAGCCCGCAAGAAGTTTCTGCAGAAACATTCATTCATGCATTTCCTTCCTGCAGTCACTTGAAGGGAAGAAAAATGAACTCCAGCTTGTTTTGCTCATCATCCATTGATATACAGTACTGTACTTGAGAAAATATATTTTTTGCCATATTCGAGCAAGAACATTTTTTCTGAAAAGTTTAGCCAAAAAAAAGATAGTACAGTCAACCCCCATCTAACGGACTTGATTTGTGCAAGGGACTAGTCTGTTAGATGAAAAGCCCTTAACATAAATTCAATTACATAAAAATTGAAAATTTCAATTTTTCAACACTAATTTTAAACCAATAGAAGTCTGTTTGGTGGATTTTGTCTGTTGGGCAGGAGGAAAAACTGCTTGCAGAGCTGGTCTGTTAGGCAAAAATCCCTTACACGGGAGGTCTGTTAGGCAGGGGGCCACTGTACTGCAAATGGCGCATGAAAGTACAGTGCACATTTTCCGGCATAAAAAATGCATAAAACCATTGAAAGTCATGAATATGAGTGACAGAAAAAATATGAACGGTTTTGCGGTTTGTCAACAAGTTTCCTGTGGATTTATGTAATTTTATTCCATCAAAAAATATTTTTCTTAAAAATTACTACTTGAAAAAATAATTCAAACTTCTACCAACACAAATTGCGGGAACAAATCTTGAGCAATTGCAACTTTTTGGGTCATAATTCCACTCCTATAAAAAACATTATCAGCCAATTCCCTTGATAATAAGTCAGGGGGAATAGTACTTGAGTAAATACAATAAATAAAGATTGCAAGACACAAAACTTTTTTTTAACAGCTTTTAAAAAGTGCGCGACAAGATATGATACAGTACAAGTACTGTATATGAGCAGATGATTAAGACACAGCTCTCATGCTCTCCAAACCAACAATCTCCATGCCAAAGCATCGACAGCAATCCAAATGTAATCTGAACTGCATTCCCAGTAGGCCACAACATGGCAAAGCCACTTGGTCAGGCAGCAAGTAGCAGCATGTCAGAGCTGAGCAGACTGCCTTCTGGAAAGGTAACCTTGGTGCCAATGGTCTGTATATAAAGGATGGTATTCAAAGAATCATAATAAGTACATAATTCAAAGTCCATCAGAGGTGTGCTTATACAATTGAAAAATTGTGTTTTATGCATATATAGCATTGCATATGAATATGAGATATACAGCACAACTTGTACATGGAACACATTTGGCTGAGTATAGCCAAAGTTGGGAAAAATCCCACAGGAAGAAAGTTATTGTCCTAATGATCCCCCAATGCTAATCCTACAGCAGGAATGCTGAAAAAATGCTACCCAGCACTGCCAGCAGTAACTTTTTTCTCAAAAATTTTTCTGCAGGAATGGAGAAAAAAATTCGGGATTTTTCTGAAATTCAGCTCTTCTAATCATTCTTGTTTCCCCCTTTTTTTAATCCTTGGGGCAAACAAATGTTGAGGAAAATCCTGGCACTGATGCCCAAGGGTTAAATGCCAGAATGACTTCAAAATTTGCCTTATGGGCCCAAGGATACTAAGAGCAAGCAAATTACTTTACATGAATCAAGCTCAAGTATATAATAGATAGGTTATTACTTCAGATATATTAGTTTCAAGTCAGAAATATTTCTATTTTCCCAAGTAACTTTTTAAACTTCAAAATGAAATTTTAGTAAAATTATTAGCATATTTGGAAATATATAGATCTGTTTCTTTTCTTCAAAAGATCCACAAAAACCCCTGAAATGAAATTCTGTGATATAAGTCCACCAAAATAAGCAATAATTAATCCAAAAAAATAATGTCTTTATGCAACATATATTGAGATCCATTCTTGGTTATACATATTGTGTGCTTTTTAAAATCTAAAACTAAATCCTACTTTCCCTACACATATGTTTATCTCATCACGCGCTGTTTATCTCAATCACCAAAGGGCATGTGATCCCCGGTATTTAGTGACTATATAAGGTCTGGAGTGAGATCTGGCTGGAGAAAGGGTAATTATGAACCATTTGTTGCTGTTCACCTAAAAGACAAGCCTGTGTCTGGGTACTTGAGCTCGTTCTGCGCCTGGACCTTGTCGTTGCCGAACATGCCCACAATGAATGGACTCATGGCTTCAATTTGTCTCTTGACTCTTGCCCCCTTTGTCCCGGACAAAGGCCCATCATTATTCCCGCGGCCCCCGAAGAACTCGTCCACCTCGCGACTCCAGTTCCCGGGCAACCGGTCAAAGTACCCAGCCTGGTGCAACGTTGCCAAGCCCAGTGCGTAATCCGTCTCCAATTGCGTCAATAGCCCCGACGCGGCGTCATCAATCGCAGTTGGCACCGCTTCCGTCACCCGCACGACGAAAGTCGCGTTCCCTGCTGCGTCTCGTCTCGGGAGGGCGCCGACATCTTGCAGAAACGTTGCGGCGATCCAGGAGCACACGCCCGGCAGAGCAATGGCTGCGAAGACATAGAGCGCTGTTCCGATGACCACGGCCTGCGCCACTGCTTTCAGGACTTCCTTGCAGGACTTGACTATGTCTTCTTTCTCCACATCCCTGACTGATGACTCACTAATGAACACTTTACAATCGTCTCCACACTCGAGTTTACTGGACATTTTCATATATCTTTTTTTCTTCTTTTTCTGTGCTTCTCCGCGGAGATTCACAAAGAAACCAGGCCACGATCCAACGCAGAATGCCAGAGATGTCTTCCTGCTCCCAGAATTTCGTCTGTGCTCCCTTTTCTTGTGTGTGTGTGTGTGTGTGTGTGTGTGTGTGTTTTTGACATGCAGGCATGACATGCAAAAAATGTGTTCCTGTTTTTCTTTCACGCAATGTGGAATGGGTTTGGGAAATTTTTCAGAATTTATTTTGCATGTCATCATGATGAGTTGGCTGAATTTGTACAGTATTCTTATTTCTTGTGAAGTTGGCCTTCACTAAAAGAATACTGTATTTCAGGTTCCCTGCAAGATTTTCTGAATCAGCTCACCTCTTTATTCAGGCGGATGCTGCCTGAAGGTGGGTTGAAATTGAGTTTGTCAAGGAATAAGGCCTGTTCTTGCTGTACACATGATGATAATGATGATCTTGGCAATCACCAAGGATTTTCACTGAAGTAAATGTCACTCATTGTTGAACGCACTCAATTCATAATCCTGAAAATAAAGGGAGAAGATGAAATAATTTTTCAAAAAATAATGCTGCGTTTCCTAAAAAAATATACTATACAGTATATTGTTGGGGTTGACATTTTTGTTTTAAATGAAATGTTTATTTTTAAACTTGTGAACACTGACAAGTGCCAAATGAAGCTTGTATACATCAATCAATCAATGAATTCATTTAAAAAAGTGTGTATATAGGAGGATTTTTCTTTAAGAAATTTTTTTCATTTTTACACACTTACACAGACTATTTTCGAATTAGTTTGCTTAGTTTGCATTAGTTTGCTAAGGTATAATCAAGACCATGTCCATTTTTTTCATGAAAGGTTAAGAAATGAGTTTTCTCATCCAGTACTTTTCCATGCACGCTGTAAATTTTTACTTTTTTCTTAATTCACAATTATAGTTGCGGTGTTTTTATTCAACTGAACCTGACACAAAAGTAGAGTAGTATTTACTTTCAATAATTCAAGGGAAAACTGTAATATTTAAAAAGGATATATCGCAGCTAATAATATTGGAAGAGCTTATTGCTTCGATAATGAAATATGTCCACGGTTACAGCGTGAATTATTCTCATATTACGGTATGCTGTGGTATTTGTGGAGTAAAAATATATATATTTTTTAGGAAACACAGCAGTAAAAACGGAATAAAATTCAACGAAAGGTTTTGAGCACCTTGTTGGCCTGCCAATTTATACTAGGAAACATCTTTTGTCCAAAACACTGAACACACCCGCACATTCAGAAATTGTCCAGCTTTTTTTTCGCGATGTGAGAAAAAATAATTGTCGGTTGCGGAGTTGGTAACCCTTTCATATTTCTTTTTTTTTCTCTTGCTTCGTCTGTCCGTGGAAAATACGAGCAAATGTTCACGAGAATTGAGCCAACGAACGAAAGAAAATAGCTGCCGATTTGAGAATAAAGAATATGCTTCAGCCGAGTGAATTCAAAACCTTCAGCATTAATCGTTTTTTTCCCCGTTTTCAACACAAACAACTTTTGCAAAGGGTCCCACACGATTGCGTTTACTTTACGCGGTATTTTTTTTTGTAAAAAGTTTTTTTGTAATTTTATTTTGAGGGTATGACGCGCGACTCTCATTCATTTGTTTCACTTATTTTGCTCAGAAAACAGTCAAAACTGAACACCGTTTGTAATTATTCAAAAGATAAATCAATAAATAGAAGTTAAAAAAAGAGGGAGGGAAGACCTCTATACCTTAGGTCAAAACCTGTTATTTGGAAGTTCTTTTACTATATAGCATACAAAAATATTCCAATTCAAGTCTTTTGAGTTTGAATAAGGAGTCTGATGAAATAAAAATACAATAAAATTTCAGAAAAGTGTGTGCAAATTGAAAGTACCCTCTTTTTTTGCAAACTAGAGAAATGCTTCAACTGCAATAAATGACCATGGGCATGAAATTGTATAAAAGCAATGGATTGGGTGGTTATGAAGATATTAAGGGTTTATTATTCTCAGCATCAACTGACATGTCATTATTTAATTTAACTTCAAAATAATTATGTTTATACAGTGATATGTCAAACTATAGACTGTGATTTTTTCCTAGAGACATGGTTTGAACTTCTTACAGTTTGAGCTTACTATAAGTCAAATCTTCTTTTTGTCAAGACCCTGTCCACATATTTTGTTTACATCAGTGTAGTGTGTACCTCTATCATACAATATTAGACTAACCCCCCCCCCCCCCACCTAAACCTATCAAACTCAAATTTTTTGTGGACATTTGCCTATTATTCTGGGGACCAAGGAAATGGCAGAGGAATTTAAAATTGCAAATTGACTATTTTTGAAAGGAAATTAGAGATGGATTGTGAAAATTTATTGCTGTGTAGAAGTGCAGCATCGCACCAACAAAAATTTTACTTAATTTGAGGTCCAAAAATCGCAAAATAAATGCTTTTTCTTCAATTACTCCAAAAAAACCCAGTTTCCCCAACTTGATATCCCTCCTATTCAGATTCTGAATCCTTCTGAGTTTAACTTAATGAGGTTCAATTTTATTTAGATTCTTATTGATTGAATGAAGTGCATGGGTAAATTTGTTATACAGGATACCATACTGTATAAGTCATAATTAAAATTCACAATAAGTGTGAGTCAACCTCTTCAGCAGTAATAATTTCCACCCAGTGGTTTATTATTGTATCAAATTGCCTGTTAGAAATCTCCAATACCTATTTTCTTGAGCCTTATTTATTCAAAAAGAGAAAAAGGGTGCAAAAATAGCTTATTGAGTCTTCGTGTTTATGTACAGTAGTAGTGAATCAGTGTTAGCAGTTACGCATATATGACATTATATTTCATTTCACAGTTTGTGTTCTTGTTGTTGGTCCAGCTGACACCTTACACTTACAGCATTACACTTCATTTAAGAGAGTCCCATCGTAATAGACCATATTTCGGAAATATTACTGCACCTCATATATTTACAGCGAACACAAGAAGCACATCATCTATATATACCATACTCAGACTTATTTGAAACGACAACGCGTCTCCTCCTCCTCCTCATCATCATCAGGCGAAGAACAAGTAGTAGACCCAGTAGGAGAAGTTGAAGAGGCTGAAGAAAACCGGGAACAGGAACCTGCAGCACTCATCAATCTGGTGCGCTCTGGTTGTCAGCTTGGCAATCGGGTGCAAACTGGCAATATCCTGGTACCCCATTGTCATCAAGTACCCGTTGTTGTCCTCGGCGGACTCGTCCCACGTCTTGCGAGAAATAAGAGAGGATGATCATGGACCAAAAGATAAAATGATAAAAATTTAAAACTTCAAGGAAGTAGAATCTGCAGAAACCAGAGGCAAGATGATCAAGCGTCCATCAAGGACATGTTTCCATGTATGATGCACCTATATACACTGCTGAACAACGTTATTCTGGTGGCATCATTTTCAGCATACAATGTATACTGATGTACTTTACATGTACAGCATAGCAAAATCTTCTTATAACAAAGCCATTTTGGGATGAGGAAAAGACTCAATAAAACCAAATTATTTTAAAAATTGTAATAAATTTGTATGTATTGAGCAGCAGGTACCTGGAAAGCAAATGTGTTGTAAGACATAATTTCTTGCATCAAAATTATTTATAATATCCAATATCAAAATTATTAGTACAAGATATCTCAATGGAATGTGTGTTGCAGGAATAAATTCATTCATGTACATTTAGAAACAAGGCTTTTGAAGTCACCGTTTGCACCAAAAGCTTGTGCATCAGTGAGATAAGAATCTGGCATGAAGGTTTTTCAGATTCTTATCAGCAAAGACAAGTTAGGTTTAGAGAAGTGAGAATATCTCAAGATCTGTCAATCAGGTCAATCATCTTTATATATGATTAAAGAACAGTTGAAGAACATCTTCAGCTTCAATTTACAATGTTGCAGAATTTTGTAAGTGTAAAATTTGCAGAGTTATTTGCTTTGGAAGTTTGCATGTCAGGAATTGCGCCCTAGGCAAAGCATCTTTTCTTTGCTGATTTTATTTCTCTTTGAAAGCAAGTTCTTATTGCACTTGTATTTTCTGATTGTGCGTGTGATTGTTGTCTTCATGAAACCTGTGATCAGATTTAATAATTTTAGGATGCAATATTTTAAAGAAACCAAGCCTTTTCTTTGAAATAATAATCAAAATTATGGGAGCAAGTTCAACAGATGATTAATTTATCTCAACATGTGACCAAAACAGCCAGAAAAATAATTTCCTATGTTTTTTGTCCAGTGCATTCCAGAAAGAGTACTATATAACATAATCATTCCAAGGGACTTTTCATGCCAATAAGGGAGGCCAAAGGGTCTGAAATGAAGTTTGAGTCTCAAATTTCCCACCCAATAATGAACTAAACTGTTCAATCACACCTTAAAGCAACATTTCCTCATGAGCATTTGAATTTGGAGTTAAAAGTTTGAAGGTTGATCAATTGCCTTTGGTAATTAGCAAGTCTCTAGTCACCTCAATAACTTCACGCTAGCAATGTTAAAATGCAAAAATCTATTTTTGCAGTCACAACATTGAACATTGTGCTGCAAATATTAATGGTAGAGTACAATTTGTCACGCCAAATAACAAACCAAGAATCCAACTTCTCAGAAAACTTATATTGATACATCTTTGTGAGAACCAGGAGAAACTCTGGTTCACACACCCATTTTTTCCCAAAAACTTCCAAGGTTCTTTTAATTGCCAAATTTCTGGAAATCCTAAAAACTGTTATTCATCCTTGAAGTAGGATAGTTTTCCTGTTTTCCTATCTTATCTAAAAAACTTTACTTCTCGCTGAGCTCTTGTACGCAACACTCCAGCAATTTTGCCAATACTGTATTGTGTTTGAATGAATTACAACAACCTCAAAATAGGGCAAAACATCACCCTGGTTGCAGCCCAACCAAATTCTGTGTTACATTCATTTCTAAACTCATTCAAATTTCTTTCTTCTTAAAATCATTCCTGACGCATTGTACTCTTTCAACCATGCACCATATCAGATTAGACTGTCCCTAAAATACTTTTGAAAACATCTCATTTTGCAACCAAGTGTCTTCAGCCAATTGACCCAAACATGTCTAGTGATGCTCTCATGGTCGAAGAAAACCATTTGTAAGATTTAAAAGGAGCATTTCAACATAATTTTCCCAGGAAAATATGACTGAATTCAACCTGTGCTGAGAATATACTTTAAAAGAATTTTCAACCATTTAAAATTTGCGGAGAATATTTTTAGGAGTTTTAATAAAAAAAAATAATTAAATCGTAAGAACTCTTCAAACGGCTGCGTGGAAATATGCGAAAACTATCCGGGTTCCTGTTCCGAATAACCCTTATCCGTGGGGATGGTTCATCACTCGAGATAGCCCACCCAGTCAGCCGGAAGTGAGCAGAATAATGAGCCATTTTTTTGCATGGTACTTCCTCGTCGTTGCTACAGAGAAATATATTTGCACTCACTGGATCAGAAGTCCCCAGCACTGCAGCTGCGAGCTGAATGTCCTCCTCGCCCACAGCAGCAGCTTTGGTGTCATCCCGCCTGCTGCTGCTGCTGGTGGTCTTGACTTCCATCCCGGAACAACTGTGTGCCATTTCCTTTTGGATCATGAGCAGGTCCTTGCGGTAAAAGTAGTTGACCAGCGTGAATTCCAGCAGAGCAGCGAAGATGAAGGCGGTGCAAGCACCCATCCACACGTCGATGGCCTGTCAATTCGCCCACCGGGATGCTCATTAATCACCCAACTTGTCCGGTATATAACTATATCAAGAGCCCATCCAGGGTTGGTTTGTGTAAAAGATGATAAATTGCCACTTATGTCCTCATTGAGGCGGATGCAATATTTTTTTTATTTTGCTCTTTAATTCTTCATTGCTGGAGTCTGATAAATTTTTCATACACTATTCAGCCACAGTAGAAGAAAACAAGAAAAAGACCTGGATCACAGTACAGTCAACCCTCAGTTAACGTTCCATTTGCTGAACGTTTTTTCACTTAATGTTCCTGGTCCTGTGAGAAAAATTCCCATTGCTTAATGTTCCAAAATCCGCTTAACATTCCGCAGTTGTGCAGCACTGGGTGGTCAATGTGGATGCCTCCCTCCCTCCCTCCTGTACATTTTCTTGAATGTGACTTTTTCCAGAGCTTTAAATGTGTTTCCTGTGTGGTGGCGTGGTGTTACAATTATTTTATGAACAATTGCAGTGTCAGTGTGTCACACACTGAATTTTGGGTAACACTTAGACCTTTCTGTGTTTAAAATGAATCTCAGATTTTAATTGAGTGAAGAACTGTGGTTACTTTCTGAATGTAATGGCAGTGCATAAAGCTCAGAAGTTGGAATACACTCTTTGATTAATTTTTTTCTGAATTTTACCTTTAGAAAATTTTGCGTGACACCAATTAAACGTTTCTCCCTTATATCTTAAGGGAGAGACTACCTCGCTTAATGTTTTTTTCAGCTAACGTTTTTTCCTGTTGCACCAACTAAAAACATTAAGCAAGGGTTGACTGTAAATGCCCTCCACTGAAGTGAAGTTTACCATGTAATCACCAAAGTCATATAGAGTATGCCAGTCTGCATTCAGCTGCTCTTGATCAATTAAACTTCCCTTCAGTGGAGGGGATTCACTGTGATCCAGGTCTTGTTCTTGTTTCCTTCTGTAGCTGAGTATAGTCCATGAAACATTCATTAGACACCAATGAAGGATGAAAGAGCAGAAGGAAATAATTATAGTAGATTAAAAAATTAATCTAAAAAACCACGTTTTCATAAAGCAAAAAATAACCTTAAATGTGGTGCCCATCTATTTCATTTGTATTTCACTTCTTCCCAACAATCTCCATGCGCACCACGTTTAAGGTTATTTTTTGCTTTTTGAAAACGTGGTTTTTTAGATTAATTTTTTAATCTACTATAATTATTTTATTCTTTTTAAAAAATATTCTTAAAATTTATTTTTTCACAAAAGATTGCATTGTCATCAGTTTCTAGGCTATCCTGAAAGTTTCAGCTTGATAGCTAGTCGGGAAGTGAGTGAAATTTGAGTTTCAAAATTTGATCCGGAAAAACAGACAGACAGACAGACAAGAAAGTGAGTTCATAAAAACGTGGTAAAATTGCATCAGCCTCCAAATGAGGGCAAGTGACAGTTTAGCATCTTTCATGAACCAACCCTCATATTATTGCAATAACTCGACCCACAAGCTTACCTTCACGTATGACACCTGAGGAATCTCCATTTGCACTCCTGCGAAAGTGTAGACATTTTTTTTTGCATCAGATAACTTTTTCGCGAATCTCTGAAAGATATTTGCACTGCAGTGTTCTTAAGAATTTCTACCCGGAAACACAGACATGCCTTTATTTTTTGAGAAAGAGAATTTCAAATAAAAAAAAATCTTTCACAATCCTAGTCCAGCAGAGAATATTCAATGAAGGAATAGTAGGTTTCAAAAGACCTTCATCTGATCCAATGTACACTAAATTCTTCATATTTTAGTGAGTCATGTTTAATATTATATAGACAGACAATTTCACCCTATTAAACTGCTGGCAGTAAAATTTTAAAAATTGCCCACAAGGTCTTTGAGTCAAGCAAAGTCCAGGAACCTTGGTCAACCTGAATAATTAATATTTGTCAATGCAGTCATAATGAAGTGAAGAACATCTTTACATACAAATAGCTTTATATTATAATATGTACATGTATTCACCTGAAAAATTACATGAAATGTGGGTGATGTGAAAGTATTTGCACATGCAAGTTTATATCTTGCATGGAATACAACATTCAGTGATCATTACTATATATAGTATTCCAACCTTGCTGTGTTGTTATGCAGAGAAAAACTTGTAAATTCCAAACTTGCTCATGTAGAATTTCAGAAACTAGCGTATTTTTAACAGTGACTTTTAAAAACAAGATTCATAAGATTCCGTGCTACACTCAAAATATATCATGTCTATATCGCAATTTTCCACAAGTAATTGAATCTCTTTTTGAGGAAGAGTAACTTTAAAAGCTGAACGCAAATGAGAAACTGAAATGCAGCTTTGAATGTTTCAGATAAAAGTTTGAATGTTACAATAATTACTGACGTATTGAGAGAGTTGAAACCCATGAATATCAAAACAAATGAAAACTTTGGAGAGATAGCTTGAATTCACTCAACATATGCTGTATCATAAAATTTATTCATCAATTCATTCAAGAAAATGTCCATGATTCTAAAAAAACACAAGCCAAAAAGCCAATTAACGCAGTACATAAAAAAGTTAAAATTAGCTTCAATATGCAAGGATTTTTAAAATCCTTCTTATGGCACAAGAAACAACTCTCAAGTGGTTGTTCACGTATTGAGCAAGCCTACCGTTTCTAAGGGATACAGACAAATTGAGACAGACAATGCAAGACTGGACAAAGGTAGACAGACAATTTGAGACAGGGCTAATTCAAGACAGGGACAATTTGAGACAGGGACAATTTGAGACAGGGACAATTTGAGACAAGGACAATCCAAAACAGGGACAAATTGAGACAAACAAAAAGCAACTGTAGATTCCTGTTGAATAGCTACTGACGCGACTAATTTTAAGTGCAAAAAGTAGCATTGGTCAGGCATAAGAAGCAGTGTTGACGATCACACATCCAGAAGAGGAGGAAAACAATTAAGAAGAACCATTTTTGCTGCATTTATTGTCCTAATGAGATCCATTTATTGCTTATTTATTGTCCTAATTGGATACATTATTGTCCAATTATTGTCCTAATTATGTGTTTTATGTGAAAACAACTTAGATGAACTTTCCACCAAACAGGGAGATTTTTAGTTTATTTTCACACCTTCAACACAAGATATTAGGGAAAAACATGGTCAAGTCATTTTGTCTCAAATAGTCTCTGTCTCAAAATGTCTCAAATTCTTAAAATGTATCTGTCTTGATTTATCCCTGTCTCCAAAAATGTCTGTCTCAAAAGATGCTTGTCTCAAAATGTTTTTGTCTCAAATTGGCCCTGTCTCAAATTGTCATCTGTCTCATTTTGTCCTAGATCCAGTTTCTAAGTACAGTATTGTTTTTTATGGCCAGTAGAAGTTTCTGAGCAAGTTGGTTCTAAACCAGGGCATGTCTTGAGCAGACCCATTTTTATACTGCACAGAAAATTAGGAACAACTTCATATATGGCTGTATCAGCCCATCAGGATAAAATAGCATGTCACGTATGGATGACATTTCATTTGAAACATTTTTACCTGAAGCCTTTGTGGACATCGTGAGAAGGGTTGTGACACCCAAAGTGGTTCTCCCTGGCACAGAGTCCACATCCATCCAGAAGGAAACCCAGGAAATAACAACTATCAACATGGTCGGCAAGTAGCTTTGAACCAAATGGAAACCAACTGCCCTTCTCAGCATATACTCTGCTTTGATGCAGCTGTAATTCCCTGTGAAAAAAATTTCAGGATAAAATGTTTAGGAACATGCCAATGAGAAATATGGTGAGACCCCCACATGGGACACCTCAAAATGTTGACAATTTGACATAGGGACACTTATTTTCCCATAAAAAATAAATAAAAAAGACCAGACATGAGGACACTGACTCAACATAGGGACATTTTGTGATAAAATTGCAAATATTATTTCAGGACAAATTACAATAAGAAACAGATATTGTCAACCCTGAAATTGATGCAAGAAAAGTTCTTGGGCATTTCTCTCACCAATTTACCATCCATTCATTGCTAATTAAAAAAAATTAACTCCAGCATATATTTTTCTCTCATTCTCACTTGAATGCTTTTTTTTTTTTTTTTACAGAGAATGACATCATTTCTGGGTACTGTACATAGGCATCAGTATTCAATTCCACAAATGTCCATATTGCGTTGAAATAGATTGACTGTATCAGTTTCAATTAGGAGACAATTTTTATTTTCATGGAATTATGTTGAGTATTTTGTCCATAAAACACCAACTTAAAATTAAATAATGTAAGTCTAAGGGAAAATGAGACTTGACTTGGGGACATTTCACCTTATAGGGACACTCTTGATGCACCAATTATGTCCGCATCTTGGGGTCTCACTGTACAAACTTCAAATAAAGGGGAGATGAGTGAGTTATTATACTGACCTATTTGAAAACTTTCTTGACAAACGCTGGCTGTTACTTGCTCCACTTCGAACTGAGGCATTCGGAGGCCCGAGTACAGCTTCACGGGTCTGCGATTTTTCCATGAAAGTCCCAACTCTTTCATGGTTTTTGAAACTGCGGAATTCCAAGTAACCGAAAAATTTTACTGCCTGGTTGAATTCCCAGGCTGATGTAGCTCTCGTCAGCAAGAGCTCGCATAAATTCGAATTTATTTCAGCACATACGAACATGCACTTGTTAAAAACGATATTTTTTTAGAGGAAAAGCTTTAAAAACTTGACTTGAAAGAGGAGAATTTCGACTTTTATGGAAACTCGACTCTCAATCGAATTTATGCATGTTGTAGCAGGCATATTTAAGTTTGTAATACTGCATATATTTGGTGCGCCATGAAAAAGCACGTGGATAGATAACCTTTTATTAAGACTGATTTCTGAACAATTCACATCTATCAAACTTGAATGTATACTGGTCAAAACTCATTATACAACCAGCTCCTATGTACAGAGACCAAAATTGGTTATTCAGCATCTTTGAAATATTCTTTACGATGTCTTAATTGAGAAGTCATCAATAAATGGAGACAAAATGTATTCGGAAATGAGCAGCTAACCCCTCAAGTACCACATTCAAATTTTTGAAGAAAAACCAGTTGGAAATTGGGTTTAATTGGGCATTGTATATGCAAGTGCACACATTTCAAGTAACATTGAGAAGACAGTGAATCATACTCAAAGTGAATCACACTCAAATGAAACAAAAAATGGAAAAAGTACAAATGGAACAATTCACATTTTTCACTGATTAAATTTTTTTTCAAATACAGTACATGTACAATATTTACTCTTTCATGTGCAATTTTTTATTGTGGTTGAAAAATCAAGGCAGAAAAGTGGGGCATGTCATGTGTGGTGTTTGGGGGTATATAAATTTTCTGGAGGAAAAAAATTGGGAAATTATTGGAATGGTAGCCAAAAACGATTACTTTGCATATGTGCAAATGTTGAGCAGGGAATTCTGTTCCGCCAAAATTCAGTCAAAATGTTGCATCTTTTTTTTTATCGATGGGATTCTTCTGTTCAACATTATAATTTGAAAGCAGATTGATTTCATGTCATGTACAACAATGGTGCCCGTCCTCATAAATATTTGTATGCGGGGATGCATTTTATTCGAGCAAATTTGCATGCTAAATAAACAGCGGTGCGCATCATATTCGAGGGGGCTTGGTACTTGAGTAAACACAGTAACTCAATTTTAATTCAGAAAACCGGAATTCCCGTCTTGCACATGGATTTTTTTGTGAAGTTTTTTTAAGGATCTATAGTAGGGGAACATCTTACTTATGATGGCATGCGGTAAAAGTGAATACAGCTGCTTCTTCTATACAAAATTATTTATTTTAACATTTATGTTTCATTATAATAACAAAAATGATTTTATCATGCATTTTTTTCAAGAGCGGGCTTTCATTTTAGCTATACATTCTCCAATATGATTGAGAGCGAAACGGTCTTTTAATAAAAATATTTTTTTTTACACAGTTTATACACTTTTAAACTTTTCATCTGCAAAAATTCACCTTGGATCAGAGTAGAATGCAATATATGGAAACTGCTTTTTAGCGTTCACAAGGTTCACTCAAGATTTCCACAACCAAACACAGGTTGTGGAAGGGTGGGTTGTGTTTGGTTGAACCTGTGTTTGGTTGTGGAAATCTTGAGTGAACCTTGTGAACACTGAAAAGCGTAGAATAAAGTGTTCTGTTCATTCATTCATGGAAACTGTCAAGTTATATTTCTGAAATCCAACTTTCTATATAGGGCCTTCTTCTGAATTATTCCAATTATATGAGTTGAAAAGTATGGGATCCACATCATAAAATAATAATCTTGGTCCCATAACTGCACTGACTGACTTACTTACTACACTAATTAATAATACAAAATTGTATTTGTCTCTTCTACATATACTGTTGGAAATAATTCTAATTTTCAGCACAGTTGCACAACACATCACCTGGTATATTTGCAATAAGACAAGTCACAGAATGTTCAGAAAAGAATGAAATGGTTTTCACTCACAACTAGCAATTTCCATGGAACACTCCTGTTTGTCCAGTGGGTACTTTGACAGCTCCATCATGCAAGAGAAGGTCAGTTTCAGTCTGAAAAAAAAGAAGCAAGCCCAGAAAAAAATAGAGCATATTAGGACCAAAGTGGCTCATTTCAAGTAAATGTCCCTTCTCTCTCTCTGGCTTCTATATGTACATATACGTATACACAAGATGCCTTTGTACAGCATGTCGACTCATTCGAGATGACCAGGATTTATTCCCTTATCCCTTTGGTCGCCATTTGCTCGAATTTGTGTTGCTTGCATTAAACTTATGTGATTATAATGCGGACATGGCTTCTCTTGTGTATATAATGATGCTGTTTCGGGGCGCATTGTTCAAAATGCGGAATACAAATGGATAACCCAACCATTGGCGAACCATGAACTGAATATTAATCACCTAATTACTAGCTGTATTCGCTATTACGCTCAGATTCCTCATTATCAACATAAACATCAACAATTCCAGGCATGATTTCCATCAGAGAATGCTGGCTTATTACAGCGAAACTTCGAGCCAGGCAAGATTATTTGCGAAAGCTGTCGATCTCTTTGAGATAATCCCTTGAAATTCAATTCAAAATTTCTAATACTGTATTAAAAAAGGGTCACCGCAAAAGTCCTGCACGGAATCACCAAAATAAATATGCTTGAGACCGAGTGGTGGATTATACAAAATTGAGAAACTGGTTTGATTTCATTTGGAAGGACGCCTTTGTGAGGTCAAAGTTTGGTGACTTTTGTTTTTTTTGTTTACCAACATTAAAAAAAAAACACTTAACCCTTGGACAGAGGCAGTCTCCTTTCCATCCCAGGGCAAATTCCAACTTTTCCCCCATGCTGGGCCTGCATTAAATTTTTGCACAAGGTTATGCAACCCCTGCCAAGTGGGGAAGAGCGAAGTCAGATTTTATCCAGGAATGAAGAAATGCTGCAAAAGTCCTTTAAGTTGGATTTTTTCTGTATGGAACTCTAACCTGGGCTCCTGGCTTTCAAGCTTGAATTTAATCTTTGAATAGAGGAACAACACAAGGCCAGGGGAAAAAAGGGAACATTGAAGATTTGCATTTTTCATTTTCAAGTAAAGTTTTTCTGTGGGAAATTTACAAAAAATACCAGGACTTTTCCAGACTTTGCCCTCCGCACACTGTCATGGTTTTTTTCAAGTACCATTCTTGAGTGCACCCAAAATCTGAAAAAATACCAACTTCACCACAGAGGGTCATCTATAATTCTTTAAATCATGACATCTTATTATGCTGTATACTGGTGGACCTTCTACAATGATTTTCTATTATGTATATCAATTTTTCTTTTGCTGATCCCCTGTGGCTGTTGTTGTCAAAAAGAAATGCAGTCAACCCCAGCAGAATGTACCTCCTGCAGTAAGGGTTTTTTCAAAACAGACTGCTTCCATCAGAGGTGCTTTTTCCTCTCCCAGAATGGACAAAATTCACATCACAGACTTCAGTCTGTAGAAGTGCATGCAGCCAGTTGAGTCAAGTCCCTCAGGTCCACTACAGAATTTGCAGAACAGACTTTTCACAAAACAGACTAGTCTATTGAATGCATCAGACTGCATTCTGCAGGGGTTGACTAGTGGGGTGTTCAGAAAGCTCAGTTTTGGTGCATTAGCAAAGCTTGCACTAATCACACAAGGAATCCTCTGGAACCAAGTCTGGCCTCAGGTTACCACAGTTTTCTCTGTAGATCATTGCCATACAAGGACTATTTTCTGATATAGATGGAAGTCTGCAAGGACAAAAGTTAGCCAGCACTTTCATCCCAAACTTAGCCTGATCATGTATTGGCCACAGGAATATAGAGAATTGGGAATCAACAGTCATAGTGTGCAGATCTTTTGAGAGTTGGCAAGCATCCTTCTCTTGTGTCATCATTGCAAAATTCAAATTGGTTGTGTTTGATTAGTTTGACATTTTGCTCAAAGAAGAACATAGGAAGCAATCTTTTGCCCAAGACTATAATAAATAGAACAACTTTATGATGTGACTTTGCCTCAGCTGCAGTTCTGGCTGAATCATTATTTCATTTACCCAAATCTTGTTAAATAATACCCAACATTGTCAGAATCCTTTCTGACACTGAACTCCCCATATGTTGGATGGTTTCTCCACAGCAAAATTATTTTTACAGTGTATTTTATTCTTGAATTCTGTTGTATGATTTTCATTGCGCAATCGGGAAATCCGAACAGGATTTCCCGTTGCGGGATTTTTTGCGCAGCGGCAGCGTTATTTTATTAATTTATATAACGGGTATTTGCGGGACGACTATCCCTTACATCATGTAACATACTGTAGGGACATATTCCCCTATCTTATAGATTCAATAGAATAGCAGATTAAATCTTTTGAAATTTGACTGAAAGGCATACATCTGAATTATAATGGGGCCTGAATTAGTGTGGACTTGATAAAAAAAGACTAAAACTACAAACTGCTAACTATATGTCCATTTGTAAAAAAAAAATTGGCATGTTCAATAAAAATTTTCCGTAGACTGAAATGAGACAATTTTTAATTCATTTCTTGCCTTCGAAATTGAAAAAATCTACACACAAATTCAAAAGAGGCGTTTTCTTGAATTTTCAAAAAACACAGAAAAAATGTTTACAGAAGAAAACCCCTGAACACCCTTTTTTTTCATAAAATATGTGCCCACAAATAAAATAAAATAAAATCTGATACATTCCTTTAAAGTATACACAGACGATTTTGAAAAAGCATAGAAAAGAGACGCACATTGAAATTAGCATATTCTGGAAAATGGATTTGAGAAACCTTTTAAATGAGATTTCTTTCAATTTAATGATAAAATAATACAGCTCGATTTTTTGATTGTGAGGACGACGTCATCAGTATTGTAAAAATTAATAAATTCTATTGCCTGAAAACTTTTGCCAAATGTGCATTAACTGAGACATCGTCCAGATCTTGTAGAAGTCAGCGCAGATATTTCAAGTCT